TATGTAGGTTCTGGGATTTGAACCCAGGTCCTCACACTTGCACAGTTAGTGCTCTTACTCACTAAGCCATTCTTCTGCCACCCCGAAAAGTTACAAGCTGTATCTTCATCTTCTTCCACAGAATAACTTGAAGAAATAGTATCCAGAGTTTTGTTTTTGTTTGTTTGTTTGTTTTAATTAAGAAAGAACAGCCCAGAACACTTTCTCAAGAAACTACCATTTAGGGGCTGGGGAGATAGTTCAGTCAATTAAGTGTTTGCCACTCAAACATGAAGCCCTGACTTGGACCCCTAGTGCCCACATTCAAAAGCTAGACATGGTGGTAAAACTGTAACCCCAGCACTGGAGAGACAAACAACGGACGCCTGGAGCTTGTGAGACAACTAGTTTGTCAAATCAGTGAGAGACCCTGTCTCAAAAAAATAAAGTAGACTGGGGCTGGAAAGATGGCTCAATGGTTAAGAGCACTTGTTGTTCTTGCAGAGGACCGGGGTTCGATTCCCAGCACCCACAAGGTGATTCACGAACAACCATGATTCCCAATCCAGGGTATCTGACACCCTCTTCTGACTTCTAAGGTCACCAGGCATATAGATGGCGCACACAAATGCACACAAGACACTCATGCTAAAAACTAAATAAAGTAGACAGCACTCAAGGAAGGTACCCAATGTTACCCTCTGGCCTACACACACACACACACACACACACACACACAAACACATATGCACACTCAGATGCCACACAAACATACATGAAAAAACAAAAAACAAAAACAAAAACCTGCCATCTTCATGAATCTCAGCCAGCAAAGCAGCAGCATATGGTTTAATAACAAGGAAGAAAGACAAGAGATTTGCAAACAGTTCCTCAAAGGGGAAGGGATTGGGGTAGGGAAGGGATTGGGGTGATGAAGGTGGGGCAGACAGCCACCGTTTTTATAAAGCCTTTGTAGAGCTTGTCTTTTTAGAAACATTAAAGTGTGGAAACGTGAGCGAGAGCCGTAGATCAGTTGGTAGAGTGCTTGCCTAGGGTGAACGAAGCCCTGAGATCCATTTCAACACTGTATAAACTGTGTGTGATGGTGCATGATTCTAATTCTAGCTCTTGGGAGGTTGAAGCAGGTAGATCAGGAGTTCTAGGTCACCCTCAACTACATAGCAAGTTCGAGGCCACGGTGACATCATGCATCAATAAATAAACAAAGTATGCAAACATACATGAATAATCTATTGCTAAAACTTTTTACAGATACAATATTCCAGTTTGGGGGCTTTTGTTGCTGTTATTTTTTTCTTTACAACAAATAAGAACCAAGGAATAGCTTTATCTGTACTGCCCCAATAACAGCGGCTGCCTTTCAAGTAGCAGCTAAGAATAGCCGGAGGTTTCTGGGTCACTGCTGCTGGCGCTGCCTACCAACTGGCTACCAACTCCTACTCGTGGGTCAGGACACAGCTGTGGCCTGCAGTCTCCTTCACTGGGAGAAGCATTTGGAGACAACGCCAGGAGACTCAGTCACACTCCTTGAAGAGTTCAGCATTTCTCAGGCTTTCTCATTAACACCATCATTTTTAATCAGTTCTGAAATGACTAAGATCACAAAATAAACCAGAATCCTCAATCCTTTGTTTTTTCCAAACCTCATTCTTGAGAGGTGGAATTGGGGAGAGGTATGGGTTTGCAGGCAGACTTAATTAAAAATATCTTAAGCAGAAAACATAATTTGTAAGAGCCTAATGGCTATAGGTGGACATAATTTAAAAAAAAAACTAATCCTTTGAGTAAAATCCGATGTGATAAAATACTAGGTGTATATTTTGATTAAGCATTGACTTGAAATCCCCAGTCCCAGTTCTAAGAGAAATGCAGTCACCAGGGCTGCAGGGACACTAAATCCACCCCTGTGGTCCCGTCGGTCACAGTGCCTAAAATCAGCCACCTACTTAAAAAGAGGAAGTACCACACACCCACTCGAGTCACTGGCCCCAAGACAGGCAACTCAGGAACGTGAAATACTACTACCAGTTTGCATGTGCACCCATGGATCAGAACTTGCAAGGATTCCCCAATTCAAAGCGATCCCTCCTTCAAGGGACTTCAAGGGAAAAACAAGGTCCAGAAGGATGTTTACACTTCGGGTACCTCCCACACCAGCCACGTGTGAAAACCCTGTTAGGGTTTCTTACGTGCCCAGGATGCACACAGCACACAGAAGGTAATCCTTTCAAGTTTTAGCTAACAGTTCCTTTTACAGGACTGTGGCAAGAGATACTTGAAAAGATATTCTGTCTGAAATGAAGGGCTTTAGGTTTAAGAAGCAAGAATTGTGAAACAGCTAACCAAAGAAGGCAGCAATGGCAGTTTACAAGAGTGTGAATGACTACCTGAGCACATTCAACCCGAGGGAAGGAGGCAGAGAACCAGCATATTCCTAGCGCTGTTTCAGAAGACCTGAGAGAAAGCTGAAAGGAAACCAGCTAAGCTGAGGCACGCACAGTCCTCTACCACACCTGTGCTCCCTTTAGGTGATTAGATTTGGATTCTTATACACCATACCTTTCCTAAAGTTATTTAATAGTTCTAACAACAAATGGCTGAGCAGTAAGGAGCTGAAAAGACGGCTGAGCAGTTAAAAGCACTCACTGCTCATGCAGACGGCCAGGGTTCAGTTCCCAGCACCCACACGACAGCAGACAATCATCTGCGTTGGGCATGGTTTCTCACTTCTAAAATGACAAGGTAGAAAGCCCCTAGTAAAGACTGTTTCAGCAATTTTCTTTGTTCTTAGGTTTATCTTCATAATCATAAACATAACTCTGAGATCCAGCCAGATTTCAAGGGGAATAAGGAAAATATGGACCCTAAAGAGCTCTGTAGGGAGAGCACGAAGATAACGAGATGTTTCCAGCAGGTGGGATGGAGGGGCGGCACCCTCGGGAGCTAAGGGAGGAACGGCCTGGTGTCACTGGAAGATGCACACGGGCCTCAAGTGTGAGAGCCAGCACCGTTGGCAGTGGTGATCTTCTCTCTGGTCCTGCCATGCTTGGACAGAACGCTCCACAGCATCCGCGAGGCTCGCACCAACTTTCCCTGTCCTAAGCTACACGCTAGCCCTCCAACCTTTCAGCCTTGGCAGCAAGACAGAAACCTGGGAAGTGTTTATGCTCATCCTGCATTTGCTGCAGTCAAATTGCCAGCAGCCAGGCACTTTAGGACGAAGTTCTCACCCACAGATTTCTCCCTGTACGTGGACCTGCCACGGTGTCACCATGGCATGTGCGGTCACCACCCTGACATCCCGGAGTAATTCTGTGAAAGCAGGACCCTTCAAAACCAAATTGTCTCTCTCCAGTGCTCTGCAAGTTTGCTGCAGTCCTGGGAACTCTGTCTGCTACATCACAGAAGGAGGCACAGCCCAAGGGCTGGCTATCGGCACTGACCAAAAATGTGGTGGGGCTGGCCATGGCGCGGGTCAAG